TGTTTAACAATGAATTAAATGCATGCACAGCTGGGGTGCGTGTGGACACATTCATGCACGCACACACATAAACACATACATATACATGTACATAAACCCACATATACACATGCATTTATACACATAGATACATAGACACATATGAGCGTGTGAGTGCACAAGCAAACATACACTGTTAGGCTTCTTTTCTTTCCTTCTATATCATCTTGTGTGACAAAGCACAAAACATATCAAAAAGGAATAATTAGGTTTTCATGTTAGAAGAGGGATTTCTTAAGGAGAGTAATTAATGTCTTAAAGTGAGAAAAAGATGTCTTTACTAGAGTGCTGCATAGTTTTCTTCTTGTTGATTTCCTTTCCTGTCCTATATATATATATTTTCTTGTTTTACCTTCTCCCTTTTATCTCCCTCCCTTTTCTTTCATTCTCTTTCTCCCCCTCCTTCTCTCTCTTATGTCTCTGTTCTTCTCCTTTATCTTTTCTTCATGTGTGGTCTGGGACACTGAATCCAGGACTTCAAGCAAGCATCTTACCATTGTACTTCCAACATTCCATGGGTTTAATAAAGGAATAGTGAGTGAGACTTAGTGAAGAAAACAAATGTTAGTAGAGCATTGAAGTCTGAATCTTCATTAGACAGAGCAACACTGAGATTCACACGTGACCCATCCCAGTGCATGTTGGTATAAAAAGGATTCATTTGAAACTGTTCCCTTATCCTACCACCTTACTTGTCTCTCCACCATTATCTAGTTCCTTCTACTGAACTGAAGCTCTCCTTTTAGTTTCCATTAACTAGCCTTAGGAAGACCACTATTAAGCTCCAATAGGGGAAGACACTATGACCCTTCTTCAGCTTCTCCCTTGACCTATGAATACTTCATCTTGTCAAGATTTCTCATTTAAAAAAAAAATAACTGGTCTCCATTAATTCCAATCAGCCTGAAGCAAATAGCGTAGAAGTGCTGCTCCAGCTCTCAGGGAAATGGAATGAAGGGGTAGCTGTGAGAAATGAATGGAACAAATTGGAACTAGCATTTTTGCTAGTACAAATGGACCCTCTTCACAATATATTTTCAGTGGGCTACATGACCACGCATGCTCATGAAATAAGAAGTGAGTTGCAGAAAGGTGAAATATTTACCTGAAAAGAAAATGCAAATCCTGGCCCCAAGAAGTCAAGACCTGGGTCATGTTTCAGGAAGAGAAGACAATACTCAAAAGAGGTGCACCTCACCCACTGTGGGGTTACTATGTCACTCTAACTGCCTGTGTCCCGTAAAACTACTCAACCCTCAAGGCATTCAGAATAGAGATTTAATTTTCCACAAGACTGGCCTTTAACATGTTTCTGCCCAAGTGACAGAAGATAACCTAAGATTCTGGTATTGTTGGGGCCAGCTCTCCATTTAGGGGCCTACACTATTTTGCACTTTCTTTCCCTGTCCTCCATATAAAATAAAAAAAAAATTAAGTGTAGACAATAACTGTGGTTAATGCATTTTAGACTGGTCTATTTTTTTTACAACATAATTTATAAGAAATATAGACAAACTGCTATTGTTTTGACTTTGTCATTCACCCTTCTTGGGATCCAAATCAGCTACTTTAGCAGAAAGAGTTAATCCTCGGGGAAGATAATTTACTTTGCACTCATGATTATTGTAACTTTGATGAGGTGATGATAAATTGTTTATAGTGGGGCAATAAATATCAATTATGTATGTTGCTCAATGTTGTATTAAGCCCTACCATGGAAATATTTGAGGTGAAAGTCTATTTTTTTTTAACTGAAAAAGATGAAAACCTTATACTTTATGTGAAATTCTGTGATGTTTAATTTTGTGAGTTTATGTTGAAAATCAGGTAGACATAGATTGACGACAGAAGAAAGGAAGGAGATGAAAGTGCCTGTTACGTTAGCAGTCACTGCGTCTGATCTATCTGTCTGGTTGTCCTTCTGTCTCCTATCTATTTTCTGTCTACCTTCTATCACCTATTTATTTCTTTTTCTTTCTCTCTTTCTCCCACCACCTTTCTGGCTGTCATGACATTACACTGAAACTGAGCCAAAATAAAGACTTTATTCAATAACACATTTGTTCAAATATTTGTGAAAGCAACACATTTCTTGCACAGTTCCCAAAGTTATACCCTTAGACAGTGAGTCAGTCAACTTCAAGGGCATATTCTTGTGTCAATGGACCTTCAAAGTGTCCTTTCATTTGTTGTCATCTAAAACTTTATGGTACAAGTTGACTATGCCCAGAAGCATTCCTGTCCATCACTTTATCTCCATGGTCTTAAATTGAGCATGCGGAGGAAAGGATCAACCTGTACGTGTAGGTTCCTTGAATAAAAATCCCCATGTTCTCTTTGTTTGACTCACAATTGTCCTTGGTTTCTTTAGGTAATAAATCTTTCCCACAATTTTATGTTTTGACTGTGCTTATTTTGTCTTTGCACCTTTGCATTCACTAAGATATGAATGCATTGCAATAGCACTAAGAAGCTGTAGACAAGATGGAGCTAATGCTATCAAATATTAGTTTGGGGGATGGGTATATACTTTAGCTGGTAGAGTGCTTGCCTTCTGTAGAGGAATCCTTTGATTCTATCCACAGCATATCTTAAAGTGGTTATGGTAGCACAACTCTGTAAACTCAACATTCAGGAGATAGGGGACAGAGGGTCAGAAGTTCAATGTTATTCTTGGTCGTTATCCGGAATTTGAGGGCAGCCTGGGATACATGGGACCTTTTCTCAAATAAGCTTAAAAAAAAAAAAAAAAAAAAGATTTGCTTGTAAAGCTGGCCATTTTTTCCCATGGAATCACTGTAAGTGCCTCTCTCTCTCTAATGGAATCTGAGTATTAGGCACCTCAGTCTTCCGTTCACCATAATTTTGCCTGGGTCTACACTTCCAGCTGCTATAAACAGTAAGAAATGTATGAATGTTTGGAAATGTTCCTCCCATAACACAGTATCTTTCAAAAATAATTGACATGCAGTACAACACACTTTATACACTGCAATTCAAAGGCCAAATCTAAAAATGACAACATGCAGATAATGAACCATTGGAAAACACCGTGTCTCCTGTAGACAGAAGACATTCCTACTCATGACAAAACTTGGAGTCTCTTAAACCTTGGCTGTGCCCTGAAACCACAGCAGGAAGTACATACAGAGCAATAATGAGATAAGCTCAATTCTCTACACAGCAGGAGTAAGAGCGGTCTATCTTGTAAAAACCGTTCAGATGACTTTATATAAAGTGTGGAGACAGAAATTAGACTCCCTTCCCACATCTCATTGAAAATGCTACCCATGGAGTGACTCAGCCTGCAACCCTAAACAGGATCCTGATCGCAGCATGCTCCAGGGAGCCGCAGCAGGCTCCACATTAGCTGCCTTCAGCATATGTGGGGACTGCACACAGCTAAGGCAGCCAATCATGCTGGAGGCTTCTACCTTGTGAACAGGCTCTAGCCCAACAGCTTCACAACACAACTTTTTTACTCTGTTAATAAAACGATTGTAAACAGTATTAGCAGTAACACTTTTTTTCCAGGCATTCTGCTCACTTCTCTAATAGAACTTATGAATAATACTATTATTTTAATAATTTTATTGATATCTGGTACAAAAATAATGTACAGAGATGTTAGGAAAGTTACTCAATGTCAGGTACAGGATTTGGATTTCAATACACCTTCAAGTGTGCTGGCTGCCTTACAGGGAATGCTATCCACGTTTCAGCCTATTCATCCTTTGTTCCTTTTGGAAACAGCCAAGAAGTCTACAGAGGCATCATAGTTGCAAGGTCTACTGTAGCAATGTGAAATGAGGAGATGAGATTTGTGATGTTCTCTGTATTCACTTTTGATTTAATTTTGCTAGAGAAAGGATTTCAGGAGATCATTTAGTCCTCCAGTCCATCAAAGTATAGAAACTACTTATTTAATATTTGACACATTGATATTGGACATATAACTTAGCATGTTAACTATGATCAAGAATTTATTTTTTAAAAACTACTGCATTTGAAATAACAATTTGTTGTTGAAAGATTAAAAAGTAGGTACTAAGAAAATTGTCCAATATGCTACTTCTCTGATTGACTGTGGAAGCATGTTGATTCCTAATGTTAAATTGTCAGATGAAAAATCTGATGTCTAGTAGTCTGATGGTATGTACTCATAGCTGAGAGAAATGTATGACTCGAAATCTTCATATAAAGAGTATATTTTCATAATTGCAATGTATTATGCAAGAATGCATTCTAATCATGATACACTTTGCTTCTTAATTACCTAGGAAAATGCTGGAGGAATAAATGCCATTTCTCTTGTTACCTTGATTATTTGAGAAAGAACAACAAATTTGATGATCATAAAATCTCAGCTAGTTTTTGCAGAGTCCTTAAGTAACTAACAATTTGTCATCTCCTAAAATTCATATGCATAAACTCTTAATGTACATACATAATGAAGCTCATATTGAACTACCTTACCATGCAGTGACCTATTATGGTCTATAATTTGAAGAAGAACTTATTAAACACATTTGCTTAAATTCGTCACATCCTGTCTTTCTTTGGAATTTGTTGAGATTAAGTACTATTGTGGAATACAATGTGTCCATGATCCCTTCTCTTGGTCCTTATGGATAGGTTCATAAAAAAGGAAGGGGAAACAACACCACCAATAACACAATAACCTTCTCTTTTGGAATCCTCCCTTTATTGCTATTACTGGTAGTGTTTCCCAGGGTTAGTTTTATATATGACATCCTAGTTTATTTTAACTTTGATTTGATTTATCTCTCCTTTTTTCATTTTTGTTAAGAGGCAGTTTTAAGTTTATCTACTAGTGAATTAAAAAAATATATTGCATCCATCCACAAGACAAACAGGATCTGAGATCTGTTTTTGAAATTAATCACACCTTGATTAACAAAAATGTCAAATTAGATCATATCTTCAATATGAATACTTACATTCAGCGTATTTCTGAAGCTGAGAAAACTCTGAGGGGCTGAGATGGGCCCATTTCTCCTGGTTTGTCATGATGTAGGTGAGAAGTGCCTTATACACCAGAGGAAGGATTCCTTATCCAGGTGTTTTGAAGAGAAATTTGCTTCAAATATTCTACACAGTGTGTTTCATGATGAAATGGCTCAGGCTTTCAGCATATTCAATCTGACCACATGAAACTGCTGTGGATGTTTGTAGTTTCAATAATGTGTTAAAATACTGTAAAAAAAAACACGAAGATCAAATGATTAGTAATATTGAACAAAGGAAAATGCTGAGGATAAAATGATAAGCATAAAATGGTAAGGATTATCTATCTTAACTAATAAAGTATGGATTTATTTTATTTCCAATGTTTTCAGTCTTTAATTGCCTCTTCATTCTGTAAAGGTATTTCATGTTCTTTCTCTAATAGCAAACCACATAAATAACCATAACTAAGAGTACAAAATGTGAAGAACATTTTGCTTAATAAAAGTATGCTGACAAAAGTAAATTTATTTGTGTTTGGTTTTATAAAGTCCACATTTCAAGGATAGATAGGAACATTATTTTTATGATTTGAAATCATCACTTTAAAAATATTTAAGCATTTAAGCAGTACCAAAAACAAAATCTAGACCCAGCTTATTAAACGGATTGGAAACAATATGTGATTTACTAATGTACTAGATTTCTAATGGTGTTCTTGAATGGTACTAAAATATATATCTAACATCATGCAAGTCATTTTGGGGGTCCTGTATAATTGTTATATAGCAATTAAATTGGAGAATACTTTTAGTTTTATAATCTTTAAAAATTTAAATAAATGTGCCAAATCAAAGTAATTCCAAATGTCTGCAACACTTCCTTAATGAGAGTAGATGACTCTTGTGTGAATCACATTTTAAAATAAATTTCTATGTTGTCACAGGCTTGGATTCACTAGCAAATTTATAAAGACAAAAAAAGTGAACTCCATCTGGTTTCAGTGTTTTATCAGAGACTGGAATCAATTGCTCAGTACTCAACCAGACTGGTATTAGAATCTTTATTAAATCTGAACCTCTAAAACTGCATATTAGAAGCTTCATGGAAACAGGTACAGTTAGTTAAAGCCATATTACCTACAGCATGACTGAGAAAAAGCAAATAAACATACAAAAAACAAAAGTTCATTGTTTAATTTTTGGTATCTCTTTTGCAAGACAGTAGTACATTAATTGGTAAGAAACACAGAGTGATCCAGATGTGTTAATGAATGGCCATACCATTTGAAATTCAGGACACACATAATGGATATACCAGTGTCTCCATCTGTTTTCATCTGCAGATTTCATCATCTACATTTATTTCACCCTGACTCTTTGTGTTTTCCAGGCCCATGAATTTGTGAAATAATGCAGTCTGTCCTCCTTATCCAGAGGGAGACAGATGAAACAGTAACATTTGCCTCATTGCATGATCTTTTGCAGGGTTTTAAATGTTGAGTGCAGTGGTTGAAGGACAGGGTAAAAATAGTTATAACTAAATCATTACAAAAATAGTTGGATACACAGTCTTTTCTTAGCCTGACTCACAAGCTTTCTTGTTGCTTCTACATGCTAGTGATGTACTTTCATTAAAGAATTTAATGTAACGGCATACCAAGGCTATCACATATATGTGCAATTAATGTGCATCAATCAATTTTTAAAAAATCACAGATAAAATGGGCAGATCTGTTTCTGTTCTCTGTAAACCCTAAATCTCTTATAATAATGATAATTCATGGATTCATTCTGGAAGGGTTTGTTGAATTCTTCTTACTCCACATTGTAGTCAATGGAGACACAGCAAATACAGAGCCAAATATGGTGAAGATGGAAATAATGCAGATGCTTAAAATCCATCAGCTGTCCTGGAGATTTGCAACACACATCATGTGTATTACATAATATACTCTTCCCATTTCATCTCTGTGTGACAGGCACTGAGAGTGCCTATGACCTTTCATCAGTGGAGCAAATTGGCATGGAGTGATTTGCCAATTCTCTGTCTTCCTCCACATCCTTGGCAACAGAACTCCAGTGAATGTATACACATTTAAACTGTTTTATCAGGTTCCTGGAATGAATGATTGGAATTAAATATATGAAGCTGTACACTGAGACATGCTGGAATGTTCTGTTAGAATAAAATGTGTCCCAGTGTCTGTTAAGCCCTTTTATCTGTTCTTCCTACGTGGTGATATGTCAGTTGTATGTTGAAGGGTTTCTTGTATTGTGGGGGTAAATGCTAGAATAGAAGCTCTGACCTTGGTTAAGCTTAATAAATTAGTCTGGGGTATAAGAATAACAAACACACAGAAAAATTTAAGCCATTTCATGTTCTATGAATAAAGTATTATTAGAATAGAGACACGTTCAATATATAAAGTGGAAAGAGGCCTATTTTTTTCTTTAAAGAAATATAATGTTTATTATACCAAACACTGCAACAATGACCTCATCTAGCTTACATTAAAAAAAAAAGAAGAAAGAAGCAAATCTGTATCATTATCCTATAATTCCCTTTGAAATTGCTTCTAAAATGACCTTTAGGCGAACTTTTATTAACACAGGCAATTTTCAAATTCCCATGATGTCCTTAGATATGAACTGAAAATTTGTCAGTGTGACAAATTGCCAAATGATACCTAATCAACTATAATATCTAATAACTTATAAGGTCCAATACAACTCATATCACACTTAATTTTATTATGAAGAGACAAATATTCAATAGTGTAAGTTAAAATATTTGGTAGTAAACATTGCATTCAAACAAATACAAGAGGTGGTGGGGTGGGGGATGGTGCTATGTGTAAATGTGAAATTTCAACCCAAATGGAATGACTAGGTTAGCCATAATGAGAAGACAGTAAAAGCATCTCAGGTCACAGGTCACTTTAAACTTTAATTCTTAGATTTACTTAGTGGGGTACAAGCAGAAAAATGATGTCTATTTAAAATATGTAACTAGGTGAACCAATACATTTGGCCTATGAAAGATAAATGTAACTTGTATAATATCAGATACAGAGACACAGCTATGCTTCATCCTGCAGAGGGTGTTGAAAATAACAGCAGCACTTTCTCACAGTCTCTGCCTCCTCAAAAATGGTTAGAAAGAACGTGACAATATTCAATTGGGAATCCCCATGGTGTGTTCACAGATTTCCGATCCCCTGCAGACGGCTTTCTTTAGGCACATAAAATGAGTGCCAGGAGGGAACCACTGTGCTGGCTTTTGGAAAGCACTCTAATTCTGGCTTTCTCATCTAGTCAACAGATGTGCCACTTTGCTTAGTTAGTGACAGGAAATAATTACATTGGAGGAGCTGAAGAAATCTATTTGGCCCATTGTACCTAGGCTGAAAAACAGTCTCCATATTAAAGGAAGTACTCAATGTCCTTGTGAGAAAAATAGTCATCAAGTAATATTTATATAAGAGGATCTGCAATTTGACAGCATGAGTAGGTTTTTAATGATTACGTGAAGTCACATGTCATGACTTTAATAACTGAATAAGAATTGCTGAGTTTTAAGGCATACTGGGGAATTTAAGAATATATACATAAAAAAATTAAAGGTTTGTAATGATATAAAATATTATCAGGATCTCAAGAACCATAAGAAAGAAAAGGAAAGGAAAACAATAGGAATGGATAAAGATGCCCCGGAGGCTCCCAAACAGTATAGGACATTGCCATTGCTTTTGGCTGAGCTCCAGAAATTAATTTAAAGATTCTGTTGCTAAAGACGCTACACACTTTGATTACAGGACATGGAGAAATGACACTAGACCTGAACTAGAAGTTTCTTCAGCACTCATGTTACAGGTGCCAGATAAGATGAGGATCAGAAAGTGGCTTACTCTAATCCTCTTTGTTATCTTTTATAGTAAGGCTTTCCTTTTGAGCTTTACATTCCTAATTCCATCTCAGTATTTCCTGGAAAAAGATCCCAGTACATAGCAGATGGCACACTTAAACTGAGTAATTAAGAGTTTAATGACAAGACATTTTAAGAAGTATTGGCTGGGTTTAGGAAAGCTAATTGAGGGTGGGGTAGTTGTCTGCACTAACAACAGGTGAAAGCTTACTAACTCTGGACCTGAAATGAATAACAAGTGTAAGATAGTTATGGACAGGTGGTTTAAATGTTTGTCCCCTCTAAAATTGTATAAAAACATCATTGTCACTACATTAGTACAAATAGGTAGAATTTGGAGGAAATGATTAGACTATGTGAGTTCTTCCATCCTGGGTAGATTAATACCTTTACATACCTTTATGGAAAAAGCTGATATGGCTTCCTTTGCCCTCTTTGTCATCTATCCTTTACCATGAGAGGGCATAACAAGACAATCCATCACATTTATCATGAATTTTTGTTTTTAAATATGTTGTTTATTTAGTGTGTGTGTGTGTGTGTGTGTGTGTGTGTTGTACTTGAGTAGTCACACACCAGAAGGCAACAGACAGTAATCAAATTTGTCCATCTACCACAGGTGTCTCAGAAATAAAACTTTAGTTATCACACTTGATGACCACTGTCTTTACTCTCTGAAGTATCTCAGCAATCCTATGGGACTGTAAGAAAATGAGTTTCTGTTTATTTTAAATGACTCATTTTCAAAGACCCTGTTATAGCCACATACAATGGACTGAGATAAGAGCCTTAATTGTGACAAAGAACTTATGACCCTGTCACTAATCTAGCCACACTAGGAGCAGGGTGATACATTCTCAACTTTATCTGGCCATGTCACTAGTCTCCTTCATTACATCACATTGATCAAATCTAACCACAATCCAGAGAGCAAACACCAATCTTTGATGTAAAAGTGGGCTCATGCAGCACAGAGTGAGAGGAGCAAAGGAAAGCAGAGTTACTAAAGTGGCAAAATAAGAGTTATTCAACTCCCCTGGTGTAAGACTTCAGTATCGAATAAATAGATATGGATAAACCTGTAATGAGCGAGTTATCACAGGCAGAAACAAGGCAGCAAAAAGGCCTCTCACAGCATACCCCATTACACCTCTATCCAACTACTAAGACCTCAAACAACATATACCCTCACACCTCTAACCAACTAGTGAGAATGACTACAATATACCTTCCAGACCTTTAAAAACTACAACCCACCACACCTACCTCTAACAACTAAGACCACGGACAACAAAGTCCTTCAGAACTCTGACCAACAACTG